GTCTTTTTTCCAGGTTACACAAGCAGTATACCTCAGTATACAAAGTTTTAAGGATGCGGATTACCAGCGACAACTTGCAGCGGCGATCATAGGGTACAAAGGGGTTTCGTGGTTGTGAAACAGATGGTGTGTAGCAAGATGTTATAGCCCCCGCAGTTCAACCTCCTTCTGTGTCCTTCCACTATGGGTACACTGAGTTCTTTATATTCATGTAAATATCGATTGAATTCTCCAGAATAAAGACACCATTGCAATACCTGGTGATTCGGGGCAAGCTTACCAGTACATAAGAGACACCTTGCACCAGTGCACTTTTTTCAATGGATAAGAAGGGCACAAAGGAACGAGTCCATTCCAGGGATGGTTGTCACTATGCAAAAGCCTGCCCCAGATCACGAGGTAGAGCAACAGTGTCCTTACTCTGGGGAATTCAAATTGTTGTGTTAATGTGCAATCAGATAACTCAGTGTACCAGATTTTATTCCAATTTAACTCACAAATGGCTTATTCTCTTCTGTATGGTGTTAGTCAAAGTGAGATCAACTGGCTCCAGAAACATCAAAATTGTGCAGCAAGGCTTGTCTTTGAAGTTGGTCGTTCTTCTGATGCCGCTGATCTCTTGCAGCAACTAAACTGTGTCCAATCAAATTTTGTATCCTTTTAATTTACTTTTGTACATCTGTAAGTGTCAACTTAGCATTGCGCCTACCATCTTTCTGATGTGCTATATTCTTTTGTTCCTGGCAGGCAGGGACTTTGGTTATCAATTCACAATTCCCATTTATATGTATCTGAAGAAATCCAGTACTGGTGACAAAGCTTTTCCCACTGCTGATCCCAGGGAGTGGACAAAATTCCTTTACATACCAGAGACTCTTCATCTATCCTTGTTTTCAAAAACTTCTAAAGACTTTCCTCTTTTCATTGACTTTGTAGCCCTGCGTGACTGCTCTTCATTCCTTTTGTTTATTTACTTTTTGTACAGTGCTTTGATCTTGTTAACCCCTTGATGACGGGAATTTCTTTCCGAAAGCCGACTCCAAGAATTCAAGCCTTGCTTGGCCACAAAGGCTACCTGCCAAACTGTAAATTCTCGGTTTGTGGCCCTTCGTGCTCTGCACGCTTTGAATTACACGGTGAAAAGGCTGATTGTTCAGTGGAATGCGGCTCTACACAAGCTTCCACATTCCCGTTGCCTCTTTTCAAAGTGGGGACTATTGTGAAGCTGGTGATTATGATGCAAATTCGGTCTTTTCATTTCTGGGCTACACACAAAGGCCAATTACCATATATACGAGAGCCAGGGTCTGCTTTTTTCACCGTGTTCGCTTGAGCGTGGGCCGAGAATAATAGCTGAAAAGCAGGCTGAGGATCTCAATTTTTACGGCGTGTCTAGCCGCCTCCCGGTGCGAAGGGGTTAAAGGCGCTATATAAATACTCTTTATAATTATTACTAATAAATATTTTGCAATCTATCACAGTGGTACAATAAGAATAACTTTCCCTTGTGAGTGGAACGGTGGACAGTGCTTTGCACATTTCTTGGGAGTGACTTATTTCCATTAACCAATTCCCAAAGAGAGCTCACAGTGTTCCTGAAGACAGCATTCCAGGGGAAAAAGAATGCTCCAACTTTTAAGAAGTTCCCTATACTTAAAGTCAAAACACTATGAACTTTAGATCGTTTAAAATAGGGTTAAATGTCGTTTCTCGGTTAAAAAGTATTCCACCCTGATTTTATTCCCATTTTAACCACACAGATCAAGCCAAAATGTTTACCCCATTTTAGCCATGTTAAACTCCGATTAAAAGTCAAGGAATTACTCATTCTCACTTTCTTCAAATTAAACCTTACATTGCACTTTTTAATCTACAGTCTACGCCGAACTCGTGATTAGAAATCTGTCAATCCCCCCATCCCCAAGCTTAGTACATTCTTTTCATTATCGTCTCAGCCAATAGCAAGAATGAAAAGATGTAACATGCAAATTGAGGCCATACCTCTATGCGAATGGCCCAAAATATATTTTCCACTGGAGTTGCCGTTGACATCGAGTGTGAGTTCGACTGTGATCAACATCCAATCAAAATTCATTTGAACATCTATTTCTAACTTCATTGGCCAAGTATAGAACGTAAGGGCGTGCATCTCAGAGATTTGTATGCATAATGTTTTCTGAATACACATAAGCCAAATGTATTGAGAATTTAGTATTGTAATGTGGCTGAAATGCCAAACCTACATGTTCATTGTAACTTTACACAATAAATTCACTGATTTCTGACATATAAAGCAATGAATTGAGCTAACATGGGTATACATAACTTGTTATCCTGTTTCTATTGTCTGTTTTTTCTCAACGTTTCTTGCAATTGAATGCATTTCCTTTGCTGTCAATGCCATGTCATTTCAAAGCTGAACATCCGGACCTAACAGCGTGGGTCGGTTTGGTTAGAAAGTGCCATGTTTAAATGATTTTAGGTGCGGTTCGGTGGTTTGGCTGACATGAGAGCTTGTAGCAAAAAATATTCACCATATGCAGAAGATCGGGCGCATTTATACATAAGCTTGCATGTTGCATTCCATCCACGGATCTGCCGGTTCGTGAGGGGCTCCATTGCTCGGCAGGGATTTGAAATGCGTTAAATAAAATGTCTCTATCCTGAGAAACAAAGGATGCATGATGCTTGAAAACTAATACATATAGGTACAGGATAGGCCTACAAAGTGCTGAGTATAGGTGCAAAGAACTCACTTGTATCAATCTGTGGTGATTAAAAGCTATTAAGTATACCGTTAGGGATTAGGGCCACGCACCAAGGAATTCATCTGGCCTTAGGGATTGTACTCCACAAAACTGACTGCAGAGTGTGATTCCCCAGAAGATCCCTGTTTTAACTGAATAGCCGGCCTTGCCATCTGAGCTGAAAAACCACAAAACTGACCACAGATTAACCCCTTGACTACGGGATTTTTTTTCTGAAAGCCGACTCTGAGAATTTCAGCCTCACTTGGTCACGAAGGCCACCTGCCAACTGCAAATTCTCGGTTTGTGGCCCTGTGTGGTGATGATAATGCAAATTCGGCTTTTCTATTTCTTGGCTACACACAAAGGCTAATCACCATATATACAAGAGCCAGGGTATGCCTTCTTTCACCGTGTTCACTCGAGCGTGGGCCAAAAATTTTTGCTGAAAAGTGGGCTGAGGATCTCAATTTTTACGGCAGCTCTTACCGTCATCCGTTGCAAAGGGGTTAATGAGCAGAGCTCTTTACCAGTTCCCCAAACAACCCCATTTTAACCCTGTATTTTCGCTACCCCAAGTTTAACCAAACATGAACACGGTTAAATTGAGTGATCAGACGGCATACACCAGTTTTAACCGAGAAACTGCATTTTAACCGAGCAGAAATTCATAGTGACAGCCAGATGCTGTTATCTTTCGTGCCACTTGTTTTCACTCAGCGCTGCTTTGGATGCTGCAATCAAGTGTTCAAGTTTAACACTTTTAAAATCTTTCAAGTGGTGAAATCTAATGAGTTTGGTAAAGTGTTACAAATTATTCCAAGATTGAGTTGACAGTAGGATTTTTAAAGATTTAATGCATTAAAGACACAATGTCAGGTTGGACCGGGAGTGAAAGTAACCAGACCCAGTCAAACTAATCTTACCTTTTTTAACATGACCTAGGACGTACAGTCCACTCTTCTTCATGTCATTGACGAATCGTATCAGTTCACAGCAGGAACGGGGATTGGCAACCAGGAGAAGCATCTGAGGCCGCCAGAACTTGACATGGTCCTTCCTCACATCCAGTCGCAGAAGATACTTACGCACCTTCAGGAAAAAGAAAACCATAAACAAGATAGAAATTAATCTTAGATGCAACACAGACTTGCAGTGGCTGGTCTTTTTATGAAGATGTGTATTGTGTAATTGGAAACATGAGCAGAAATATGACAGGAGTTCTCAACTGAAGCCTTTCATTAAAATGCTAGTCAGAATATATTGCTCAGCATCAAATTCATAACTGGACAATGCCCCTCTCTGTTTCACTAGTAACCTCTTTTTTTGCAAGAAATAGTGTCGCCTTTCTGGACAAAGCAAGCAATGTGCTTTAAAGCACACAGAAATTAGTCCCTTGAACAGCAAATGTTTCTCATGCTATTCCAAACAGATATGAGTATTTTCAATACAACAAGAGTTTGAAACTTTAACATTTCTGACCATCTGTTGGGCATCATGTTCCCATACCCTGGGATTCAATTTCAATGAATTATTCAAAGCAGGTACCATGATTACAATGGTTACAAAGAAACTGCGTCTTAACCCTAAAGCCTGATGAACTAGAAACAATGCTGACTTTAAAATAACAAATTTCAACAGATACAAGCAGGTCACTTATGTCTGGCTCATGATTGGACAGAACAAGTTAAATTCCAACAAGTCAACAAGTGCTGTTGAAGTTTGAGTCATTTGGCATGGATGGGTTTACACAGTATAGAGGTACCTTGCATAGCAGTAGAACCAAACCTGACAAAGTCAAGCTCAGTCCAATGTATGGTACCACTAGCCAGTCACTTCATGGAGCAACCCTACGTGTTCCCACTCAATCAAAATCCAACATCATCACCTCAGGTCTTTGTTCATCAATCCAACAAAGTTGAAAAAGAAGTTCATAGTGTATGGTACAGAGTTGGTCAAAGTTGATAAAACCTGGAGTTTAAGAGGCTGGGTAGCTAGAGTTAATGGTTTGTACTTATTAACGGCTACTGCAGGAAAGGTCATCCATGCTTTACTTTCTTCACATCTGGATTGCTGCAATGCCCTGCTAGTTGGCCTTCCAGCCACATCCATATCTCGTCTACAATGTGTCCTAAATAATGCAGCTCGGGTTGTTGTCCGATGTGGTAAATACGCCCACATTTCAGTTATATTGAGAGAGCTACATTGGCTTCCGATATCCAAAAGGATCAGTTTCAACATCTGTCTTGTCATATTTAAGATCCTGCATGGACAAGCTCCTCGGTATCTTTGCAAGCTTATCTGCCTGAAGCAAAGAGGTTGGGTTCTCAGATCTTCTGGTTCATAATGGTGGAACTAAGAGCCAGAACTATCCGCTACAGTCAGCATGCCTTTGCCAGGGCAGCACCTGCCATTTGGAATAAACTTCCAGTTTCACTCTGTCAAATTACATCCTTGGACATCTTCAAGAGAGAACTGAAATCTCATCTTCTTTGTTAGGATTATTTTAATTGTGCTCGAGTATTTTGTATGTTTGTGCGTTGTTCGGTTTTCCGGATAAGTGTGCTATATAAAGCTATATCATTATTATTATTAAAGAAGCCCCTTTAATGGCTGAAACCAGCCAGGATGACCTCCTGATTCCTGTGTCATTTATTATTCAGGGTGAGAATACTGGGTGAACTGAAGAAAATCTGCTTACCTTCCAAGACTACATGTACTGCATAAATAAGCAGTTCTATGAGTCAACCACAAATGCTGGCCAGCAATGTTGGCTCAAGCCAGGGAAAGTGTTACTTGGTACCAATGGCACTTGGTATGGTGATCAATGGCAAAAATAAGCAGGAGCTAAATTGGGCCACAAACCTGATGGAATATCAGTGCCTGTGTGATGTAGCCCCACTCAGATTCACTGATGCGGAAGGAGTTGATGAGGAAGAGTACGATGAAGACAGCAATGCTGACAGCACCCCAAATGGGATTGATCAGGAACATCATGACTAGGCAGCAGATGATACCAAGGAGAGAAGTGTGCCAGGAGAAATACCGGAATGATGGTCTGTGGAATGACCACAGTCAAATCAACATGGACATTTTAATACAAGGTTCCAATCCGTCACTTTCTTTTTTGGCATCTACCATTTTGATTTCTAATGGTTCTCTGACAACCAACATTATTCAGAAAATGTCTTGAAAGTTAGTAAACATTTACAAACAACAAAATATTAATTTTATAAGAACTAAGCTCTGAACTTATTAAATTTCAAAAGAACCAAACTTAAGGGACAATATCTCATACATGGACATCACTTGTTCTTCTAAGTAAATACTTCAGTATTTTCCCAGCTAAATTTGACTCTTTAGGACGTGTTTGCTTTCTGAAGGCTGAATTACCACTGCAGGGAAACTGCAACTCTTGATTCATGCATTTATTAAAGTCATTTAGATTATTACAATGGGTTTCTTTATAGTTTGCCAGATTGTCAAATTCACAACCTTCAACATGTTCAGAATGCTTATGTTCAACTTGTTTGTAATTCATACAAATTCTGTCACATCACTCCATTGGTAATTGAACTACATTGACTTCCTGTGAGATTTAGAATCACATTCAAAATACATGTGCTGCTGTTGACCTACAAATGTCTTTATGGTTTGGCTCCACCATATCTAAATGAACTCGTATTTAAAGAGTGATTGTCTCATTATAATCTTAGAAGATCACATGAGGACACTATGTTGAGTTATCCCACAAGTCATACCAGTCACTTTGGCTGACTGCACTTTTGTAGACGTGGCTCCCAAACTCTAAAATGTTGTTCCTGTTAACATTCCCAGAGCAAATAGTGTTGGTGTCTTTAAATCTTTATTAAAGACTCATCTGTTCCGGGAGGTTAACTTGATCTTTTTGTCTTCTCCCAACATGTAATTGTTGATGTTATAATTATTGCTTTAATGTTCGTTTTACTGTTTTTTTTTACATATTTCGATGTGTAATTGATCTTGTATTTATGTATAATTTTTGCATTAGACAAAAAAAAATATATATATATATATATTCGGTCTCTTGTCAGACCAAAGTACCAGAATTGATGCAGCGATGCATTTTTTTTGGGGGGGGGGGATTGGCTTTTCAACCCCTTGACGGCAGGAATTTTTTTCTGAAAGCCGACTCCAAGAATTCCAGCCTCGCTTGGCCACGAAGACCACCTGCCAAACCGCAAATTCTCGGTTTGTGGCCCTGCATGTTCTGCACGTTTTGAATTACACAGTGAGGATGCTCATTGTTCAGTGGCATGCGGCTCTACTCAAGCTTCCACATTCCTGTTACCTCTTTTTAAAGTGGGGACTATTGTGAACATGGTGATTATGATGCAGATGCGGCCTTTTCATTTCTTGGCTACACACAAAGGCCAATCACCATATATACAAGAGCCAGGGTCTGCCTTCTTTCACCATGTTCGCTCGAGCGTGGGCCGAGAATAATAGCTGAAAGGCGGGCTGAGGATCTCAATTATTACGGCGGTTCTTACCGTCTCCCGGCGCGAAGGGGTTAAGACTGGCAACGGACATGGAAATGAGTGGCATATTTAATCAAAGTTGTTGATCAGCTGGCTGCAACTTTGTAACCTACCCATGGTCTACTGTTTATGCTGAACATCAAAATTATGCAGTCATAATGGATCTATCACCGGGTATGAGCTACCGATGAATTAGTCTGGTTTCTTAAATAAATTGTCCTTCGGACTTGTGGCCGGGAATCAGTCTACTCGCGAACATTCAGGCCGTGCAGAAATAGAGGGCACTGTTTTTAAAATTTTGAGGAAAAAATGGAAAAAAATTTATGCGCACGTTCAAAATGACACGCAAGCTAACCAGACACCGACTATTTTTTTTAGCCTAATATTTTTAGATGTATGAATTACTATATTTTCGGGTGTATCTCATTGTTTTAATTGCTTATATGTGTTTTGTCAGTGCAATTTTACTGGATTTTTAATGAAAGTGTATTTGAACATTTTTTATATAAAATTTTCACTTTATAAATCAATAAATTATTATTATTATTATTACTGCAAGCATACTTACCGAAAATTTGGAGCTGAAGCAACATCCATGGCCATACAAGCCAGGTTTGTGGCAGCATAGGAGAGCAGAAAAAACACTGTGACAAGTGGAGCAATAGCATTCAGAGATCTCATGAGCAGAACAAGCTAGCAAAGTCAAGAAGAGAAAAAACAAAGAATAAGCACTTACAAATTTTTTAGGACAATATACTTGACACGTATCTTACTTAAATTTAAAACCTTTAGAAGACCAATATGTTGAAACTTCTTTGAGGATTAATCCTACACTGTCCAATTTACCAGAAATCAGCATAATCAGACATTCAGCACTGGACATGGAGCAGGTTTACCCCTTTGTTCAAACTAGCCTACCAGAGTCACACTGAACCAAATTTTACCTGAGACTCTGAAACACCTTGGTTTCAAATAGTGCTCTTTTCGTAAGCTGAACTCAGTGTAACTTTATGGAAATATATGGCTATTAGGAAACTAGCAATGAAGAGACTGCAATAGCTTGAAAAGTGAGGATATATCAACTTTAGTTAATGAACACTGTTGCAAGAAATGACACTGCAAGAAGTTATTCATGCTCTAGATACAACTATTTGAAACCGAAAATCTATTTGGATTGATTGAAGTTCTTGACAATTTTAGTTCCGCATGAAACTGGTGCACCATTCCAAAAAAGGTTCAAGTACATGTGTAGATCCAATTACATTTTGTGAGTGATGTACAACAATAGCAGTGGAGTCCCATCAAATCCCGCTTTCTTGATTACCATCACAGGGTCCAACACAAACCTGATAAATTGCATCTGGCCCTGAGACATCTGGCCCTGTCTCTCCTACAACACTGGGTGATGGTATTACATTCACACTTGATCTTGCTTACCTGAACTAAGACCCAGGACATAAGCACTGCCACAATGGGGTTCCCACTGGCTGTGACACCCCTGTATACTGGCATTAGAAGCAAACCTGTAAACACAACAAAGGGAAATCATATAGCAAAGCCCAAAACAATGATCAAGACAGCACGAGTTCAACCCAACAGGATAATACACGTGAGGACCACGCACGTTCAATGCAAATTTGGCAATTATGTTACATTAAAGGATACACATTAAATGCAACCATGTTAAAACAATACTAATTCCACACCCTCAAAGACAAAAATGAAAACAATGACAAGCAGGAGACACTTTTACACTCAATGGAACTTGTGGCGATGCTCAACTTGTGGCATTAGTGCCACATGAAAATAATGTGTGATTGTGCACATTCAATTGGAAAGTACCAATGGGCATTATCTGCCATTACTTATGGGGTTTCTATGGCATGATTAAAAACACTTTCACTGTTTATGCAGCGCAAAATGAAAGTGAAATTTACTGATTGTGCATTTAGGTTTTTTGTGTATCAGCTTTGCTGATGCATCAATTTAGAATATGGACATAGATATCCAAATAACCGTACAAAAACCTTACAAAACTTTGACTTTTCCACAGGTTTGTGCAATCAATCTGTACAGGAGTCAGCCCTCTAGTTTTTATTTAAAGCTCTTTGGTTTCAATGCAATTTGAGTGCAATAAAATTTAAGGACAAAATTATCCATTCTCATCTTCACATGCCCATTCTGTGCAATTTGTCCACCATGTCTTAAGTGCTGAACACCCAAACCAACAAGCTCAGTTCAATTCAGCTCAGTTCATTGCGAATGTATCATGTCAGTTTGGTGATTTGGCTAAAGATCAGAAGAAAAATCAGTGCTTAATCTGGCCCTTAGAGAACAGGTTTATACCAAATACGCCATCTTTGGCTATGGCATGTAAGACCCTCGATGCCCCGATGAGGGTTGTCAGAGCTGCTGAGAGTGACACAACAAGAATTCCAATCACAACTCCATGAGGGAAGATGTTGATTTGTTGAAGAAAGCCATAATTGTTCAATAGCAATTCTCTGAAAGTGCAAAGAAAAACGAAAATGATACCGGCAAATCATAATTTTAAATAAAATAATGCTTGGAAAGAAAAACAAAGCTGAAATAGAAAATCACTGCATAGGGTAGAAAATATTTTTAAAGTGTGGGAAAACCTGAAAATTACATTTGCAGAAGCAGGTGCCATACCCTCGCACTTTGGTGATTTCCATTTGTTTCCTATAAACACACATTTGTGGGGACTGCACACAATGAAATACAGATGTTCTGAGGACCATGGATGTTGTGGGGCCAAAAACTACAGGAAAAAACTGGGTCTGAAATGTCCAAATGAAAGATGTTAGCTTCTCAGTGAGTTGAAGGCCCACAGGCATTCAGAGTCATGTCCATTCTCCCGAGCCGATCTTAAATGCATGTCTAAGGCTGGCCAAGCAGATATTTATTTCCTCATTAAAATCAATGTGTTTAAACCTCCTCTGTGTTACAACACAGGGAATCCCTGCATTTTTACATGACATCTGTTGTGTGGTTGGTAATATGGGACTACATCCCCATGCAATATGGGAAAAGTTGAAAGGTAAATATGCACAATTACTAGATGGCAGGATACAACTTACTGTGAGCAGGTTGCACTGACAAAGAATGCAATCAAGGCATATATCAGACCAGTGAAGAGACAGGCTCCCAAAGTTCCAAGTGGAATTGACTTCCCTGGATTCTTCAGTTCACCTAAAAATCCACCAGTAATTACCAACAATACATACTGTGAGATCTGGGCTTGATTAACACAGCTTTGACTCAGGAATTAGTTTTTCAACTTCCAATACCAAGGGGAACAACCCACCCTTAAACCATGTGTTCCTCATAAAAAGTTCATTTCCTGCCACTTAGGACCACATCTGTGATTTTACTTGTGACTGACTACATGCCCACGTCATCTCAAAAATCAGACTTCTTTTGGCTCCCTAAACAGGCAACACATCAACCTTTAAAAATTCTTTCAGCAATGGGATATGATTTCCACCTCAGAACTTTAATTTGTAACTGAACTCAAAAACTTGTTCATGTAAATTTCTTATCCGGGACATAGTACTATCACCATGCTTGACTGTTTCCTTTCAATGACAAGGAAAATAAAAAGTTGAGAAAGGGAATACATCAGTACTAGTACCTGACATGTTAGCCCCGGCCATTATGCCTGTGCAGCCATTAAACAATACAGCAAACACGACGAGGAAATTAACATCAAGTAATGTGGTATAATCTGGCATCAATTTACCTGTTAGGGGAAAACGTGCACAGAATCAAGCCAGGAAAAAGTAAGAAAATGTTAAAGAATACTGCAGCTGTACAGTTTCTTTTACAAGAACACGAGAACTTTGTGAAAATCTGTTAATTGTTGGGGTTAGTTCCTTCCCATGCTAAACATAATTTTAACTATAATTTTATTCACTGCTTCAGTGTGCTTTATTGAAACATAAAGTGACAATTTTATACTTACCATACAAGTTGCTCTGAAGTGTTTCCCACTTGAAACCTGTGTAGTTAGCAGACCCATTTGGGTTCAGCTGATTGTTACGAGGGAAATGTACCTCGAACTCAGTTTTGGTAAAAAAACTGACTAAGACTGTGATGAGAGCTGCCATGACCACAAGGAATATGAAGAAGGAGGTGCGAGCAAACATCCCTGCCCCAATGAGGCAGACAACAAGGCAAAAGAGTAGCACAATGGAGGAATAGAGGAAGGACCACCAACCATCAATTGGTATTCCACCACCAGATAGTAACAAAGCTCCTGCATCAACAAAACATGAAAATTCCATATGCTGTCATATGGCCTTAGGACTCAGTGTGTGAGGACGAGATGAAGTGTGCACCTTATCACCTGACAATGACTTCCCCTTGGGCAGAAATACATTGTAAATGGTGAATATTTACACTCTCACGGCTAACACATGTTGAGGGATACTAAAAATTACTCCTTTTTAATTTGATGTACTACTCAAGGGTACCATTTGCCCCCTAAGGGGATATAACACACACTATGAACCTCCTCACAGCAGGGCACACTGTATAATGCCTACATTTTCTACTCACTGTTGAAAAACCAAAAGCTTTTTCCCTTTACTTTTCACTGTGTTTTTGCAGATGCACAGATAAAAGAACATATTTTGGCAAAATCAAACTCCCGCCAAACAGTCTTTGTTTGCAATGGCTTTTGATACATCTGCACTTCAGGACAACAGATTTAGTTGTCTTGAAGTTGATTTGATTTAGTTTAATTAAAGTTCAGTTTAATTCAGTAATTATCAAAGACAGTGTTCCACATAACTTTGTTAAAGGGGATGGGCCATGTAGGGTTAAATTGACTTTATAGTTTCCAACCGTTTAATATACAGCAAGTTGGATTAACCTGTTTTACGTCATTAAATCAGCAAAAATTGGCGTTTTCTGTGCGCTTTTATTAGTCTTCGCCTGAGTTCTTCGAAATAACGAAATCGGTCAATGACGGCTGCAAACAAATCTGCACAAAAATGTGATGTCATTGGATGGACTCAAATTTCCAGACAAGAATGCATAGTTCCGGCAAAACAGTTTATCGGTCTGCGCAAGAATAATGCTCTCTGCTCTGGCAGGTTGTTGGGTATGTACATGTAACTCGTACGTGTCAAGTCGATCACATTTGGTCTTGTTTCCCTATGCCCTTCTCTTAACAAGGGGCTGAGCTATTGGACAACTAATGTGTTTTGCATCACATCATACACGTGTAATAATTTCTATAGCGAGTTGTGAATTTCAAAAGAATGCTGATAAACTGTGTTGTCGACGGCCTTTGTCGCGATCAAAACAATTCCCCAGAGAGCACTTTTTGTAGATTATAAACAACTTTTCACACCAGTGTTTGTAGGTTAGATCTGTGGATAACACACAGTTAGATTTTTACGAGGACTCAAAATTCCAAAATACATGTGCCTGTTTACAAGTACTGACATACACACCCATATATGTACTACGCGTAAACGATATTGGGACTATATTGCACTGCTGCACGTGGACTATTTTCCAGTGCAAATAACACTGCACATTTGTCACGCGTACGCGTCGATGCCTAGCAAGTGACTTGCCATGCTCGATGAAAAAAATTGTCGGAATGGAACACCAACTTTGACGAAGTAGGCTAGCCTATAACCATGGACAAAAACACTACTTCTACTGTACAGCTATAGCCAATGGTAGGACAATTAATGTCTTTTCAGAAAGATAAATTTTTATAATGGTACAGGAAAAAATGAAATCATGACCAGTCCACTGACTGATTGTCGATCAGGGTCACCGCCATGCCTATGGCAAACAGCCTCGAGTTGAAAAATCTCTTCCTGAGTGTATTCTGGTTCGAACTGACAAGACAATATTTCTTGAGCCTCATCAGCTCCTTCAATGTCACTTTCTTCATCAAATGAATCAGACAAACATGACAATTGATCGCTGTCATGATCGGAAAAAGCATCAACACTGGAATTATCGTTGCTTGAGTCTGACACGATTGCTACTACCTGTACATTACGCACATGTCGACGCGCTGTTGCGTAATGTAAACAGTCGCCGGATAAAGGACTCCATCCTATGATGTCATGATTCTTGGGAATTTCTTCAGACAACTTTCTGTACCCGACGGCTGTTGTGTAGCTTTTGCTCCAAGAACGGAGTGAAATAGGGTCGTGAAAATTATAATTTCTAAAATATTTCGGCGCATTTTGAAATTATGCAGATGTGTTTGTTTTACGTGTTCACGCACGTTTTACGAGAAATATTCCCAGCACGGCTTATCCCCTTTAAAATGTAGCTAATTTCCTAAAAATGCTATTTGATTTAACACTGCCTAAGCTTGAGCAAACTTTGCAATTCAACTTGACAAAACATCGAGTCACCTAGATGATCCAACTAGATCCATCAAACTTGCAATTTACATGTAGCATACCAGCACCTACCTCCAGTCCCAAAGTTGTCTATGATGGCTTCAACAAAGCCAATGCAGTACAAAGCAGATGAGAAAACATTGGCAATAAAGAACATGACTCCTATACTGCCACCAAACTCTGGACCAAGAGCTCGACTGATCATGACTGAACCTGTGGTTATGGAAACTAATTCAATAAACTTATGCATATTTAAATTAAAGCTTCAGAGAAACTGTTTGAAAAAGAACATACATGAACATGTAACTGTAAGGAGGCCATGTTGGGATATGTTGAAGAAGCATTCATATGAAAAGTTCCTCTTAAAGATTTACCCCAGAATTTAGAAGGAAACTACATGTATGCTGTGAATGGCCATAATTTGAAGTAATATGCATGTATCCAGTAGGCCTATTGTTTCAGAAATGTGTGGTTTATTCCTCACCCCTGGATGTGAGGAAAACCAGTTACAGCAGCTTGTTTGATCAAAATGACCCCAGTGCCCTTTCCATAATCCAAAGACATAAATGTCAAAGAAACAATTGTTTCAAAGAAACAATTGTGGAGCAATTTTTACATAAAATAAACTCTCACAATCTAACACCAAGTGTGCCTTTATTTTTTCCTACAGTCTGACAGTAAGGATCATTCATATTCCTTGCCTTCTCTTGCCATTATTAAAGACTGTGGATCAAATCAGATCTGATGCATAATGAGGGAATGGGTCCGCCGGTCATTGACTGTGTAATTCTTTTCATTCAAATATCAAAACCAGTATTCAAAAACTAGGTTTTTTGGAATACCTAAAACCAGGGCATTTGATTGGATTGCTTTACTTCCCAAGGTATCCTACCCACTGACAAGATGTTTACAGTACATTAAAGGGACCATGTAATTAAACTATGTTACTAAAATCCTTGAAATTGCACCTTTGTATTTCAATTAACCTTATTTTCATTTATTTTGGCTGTTTTTATCTGTATTTTTGGGCTTTTCTACTTTTTATGCTCATAGTAATTTGCATATTCATAACAACACTTTGATGTGATCTGAGGCACCAGACCTTATCGTTGCACTGATTTGTGCACAAAAAAATTGCTGGATTTGTTTTATATTTTGTTATCAGAGATGTCCATTCCTTCAGCAATTTTTGTGTAGCATAAGTATGTGGCAAATATCCAGTAAATGAGATTTTCTCAGAAATGTTTTTAAAGAGTAAATTTTGGGTTCAAAATTTGAACATGAAAACATGCAACCTGAATATTGTCTTCCTGGATTTACATGTACATCACACTAACAGCATCCTCACTTGTCTGGAAAAATTTGAACGATTTCTAATGTTTGAAAAAGTTCACTCTCAGATCATTTAACTCAACAATGATTTCATACCTTAAAGAAGAGTTAAAATATGCACAAAAAGTGATTCTAAAAAATTCATTGCATTGTTCCTGAAGGTACCCTTAGTCTATTTCTTAGCTGGATAAAAACATGTTTCACCATTTGCTTCACTTGAAGGAAAATCAAACCCATTATTTCAAAGCGTATACTTGCATATATATACTTGGATATATATACCTGTACACTGTGTCCCCCCCCCAAAAAAAGAAATTCTAAAAGAGGGTTAATTTGATCATGTTTTGTGCTATATGACTATAAGTTTGTGTTTGTCATAAAGTTGCAGCAAAATGTTTTCCAATGGTATACCTTCATGACATTCCTTTAGTTATGCTTCACCACGTTCCATTGTTTGGAAAATGGTACATGTACAAAAACCTCAGCCTTAGCGACACTTCAGCTTAAGGCATTATGATCACATTTAAGCATGGCCTGATGATTTTTTTCGGGAAAATTACTTACAAGTCAACATTTCTTTGTGTGAATGTGTGGAATGGAATGCTTATTTTCTTTCTTGGTCTGGAAAACTGTGTTCAAGCAGTGTGATATAGACAGCTTATGCAATAGATATTTGTAATGATGAAAGCTATTCACAGTTGAAACCAGTTAGACATATGTTAACAGTTTGCAACGTGGTCCAGCTTACCATTGAGCAAAGAGTGTTTGTTGTACACAGGTTATTCCATGAAAAATGTTCACTTCAGTGAAAAAATTGCAGTTTCAAATTGCACTTACAGTGCGTTCCCACTTGAATTGGGAAAAGGTGGATAATGATCCGGCATTTTGGTGTGATCGTTATCTTACCACAACAAAGCTGCAAGTCACGTTCCCACTTATGCTTGATCCACCTTTTCGGATGAAACTGTCAAGCCCAAAAGGTCACTGAGTTCAATATTACACATACGCTAGCTTGCTGAGTGCGCACTCTGTGGCAGTGTTGTGTGCTAGGGTGGCATGCGTGTGACTCTGCGGTGTTTTGGGTGCGAGCTTCTACTGACGTGACGACCTTGAATCAGACCGAATGTTCAGCCTAGTACTTTGTCTCTTCAAACTTTGCTTCTGTTTTTGATACTCTGTTACATGCGGCAGGTTATACGCTAATAAGGAATTAGTTTTTGATGGAAAGCAAGTGAAATTACACAAATGAAAAAGGTAAAGAAACGGGAGAATGCGCAACGAAAAATTATGAAAGGGCTAGGTACACATTGCGGCATGCATGCATTGCGCATGCGTGGTGACACATTTTGCTAGCCCGTAGTTCAGCAGTTGTTTATTGTGCATGCTGTGCATGTTAAAAATTTCAAGAGCTACACGCCAATAAAGGTGTTTCTTTGTTCATCAGACCACAAAAGTCTGATCCTGATCCACCTTATAACAGTTAGCTTTCCCATTACACATAACTGCCGGATCTGATCCACCAATTGAGGGATCTGATCCGGTAATTTGGCAAAAGGTGGATCTGATCCCCCAATGGATCAAGTGGGAATGTGGTCCAAAGCTCTTAAATATTTTTTAAAAGTAATGTGTAAATTTTCATTTTCCAATAGACAAATCATTATCACAACTAAGTTTGGTATTTTTCCACCAGTGGAAATATTGCATAAAGTATTGCAGTAACACAGAAATGTGGCTGTTTTTGAAAAGTTTATTCTTCCGGTCCCCAAAGAAGGCAAAAATGTCCTAGACGTCTCCTTCAACTTTTAAACAGTAGCTCAGTGTATATATCAACAGAAAATCACAACCGATTTCTATATTATTTATAAATTTTTCGAGGCATTTATCCTCAAAGTTGTGTGATTTCTTTAACATCAGAAGCATTATTTCTGTTACGTTTTTCACGTAAGTTTTCATAGCCATGTTTCATGTACGTTACGATTAAATTTCCTTACATGTGTAGCAACCACTATTCCTCACCTGACAAATGGCGTAACAGACATGACACTTTGTGTAACGGACATGACACCTTATATAATGCAAGTGGCAGAAACAACATCGTGGATCAGTGTAACAGACTGATGATCAGGTTGAATTGCTTGAGGGTACTAGTGGGATGTTTCTACAAACTTATAGTAACTCATAAATACAAAATCTGCATCCTAAAACAGAAACAACTAGGGTTTCCTTTCTACCTATGGAAGTCTGTTGATTTCAGATGATCTTGCTAACCTGGTCCCTGTACATAATCCCATTCCAACCTCTTGAAATCTTGACTGATAACCAGCAGCAAGCACGCCCTTTTTATTTACATAGTGGATTACTGAAGTCACGACAATGCAGTTTCACTGTTGCCTTCTCTTTGCACTTTGATATAACATATTAGACCTCATTCCATATGAATTCACCACAGAGCCAACACATTTTCATGATACATGTTTGTTCAAACTTTGGATTTTATACACGTCTGGTATGTTTAGTTTTCTTGGCCTCAAAACCTGAGATGTGATCTTCTTTGTTGTATCATTTGTGGTACTCTAAGCATTGTATTCCATGTGCTTTATACATGTGGGAGTGGGGCAGACGTCTGACCCCACAGTTCTGGGGGTACTACAGTATAGCTGTTAGATCACTAAATCCTGCAAAAAGAAATTTAGATGTGTTGTGCAAGAACATTAGGAGGTAGTACTGTGTTGTTAGTCGTCTTTTTATTTTGAAACAAGTGAAAATATGGTTCACTTCACGAGGGTGTCATGTCTGTTAGGCAAGTGTATTGATATTATCTAACAAATACTAAGCCATAATGAAAAGAATCACCACAGTTTTAACTAATATATGTTCCATCTTGGTATGGTGGGTGATAGTAGGTGGAAATTTCTATTAACTGTAGCTAGCTCGTGCAGAAGCAAGTTTGCTTTATCTTTTTTTTTTTGTAAATATTGAAAAAAACAACTTCCCTGAAAATACAAAAATACATGAGATACATGTATTACAGAATACCAGTTATGATGTGTGCCTCTATTTGTAACCTTGCTATGAAAACAAAATATATCTGCCATACCTTGTAATACAAAAACACTGTACAGAACTGTCATGTCCATTATGCTAAATTTGTCATGTCCGTGACGCTACATTTTAAGCTATGGAAAAAGAATGCAACGTAAAACTGTTTAAAAAGATTACTTTATGATTAAAGCATGACCTTAAGGTTTAATTAATACCAAAACCAGGTGCATTCTATTAAAAAAAAAATCACAGCACTTTTCATAATTAACGGTAGGTCAAAATGCCTTATCCATTTTGTATCATGTCTGTTACATGTACATTCACAGTGAGTCCATTTTCTCTACAACCATTCAATAAAATTATGTGAAATTTACTGTGTATATCACAGATACTTAAATGTGTCTGATAAACTCAATAAAAATTGTTTGGAGACTGCCAATTCTAATCTGCGATGATGTCTTAACGTCATGTCTGTTACACTGGAATTGACCCCACCTACACTGTAAACTTAATTTCATTGTTTTGTCTTTGTTGAAAGGTTAAATTTCCCTAGAGCAAAGCTGGATGTGATCATAATGTCTAATAACTTAAAGTGTCTCATAAAGGTTTTGACATACATGTACATGTACCATTTTCAGAACAACTATGCTCGGTGGAGCATGGCTGAAGGAATTCCAACAACATATCATGTGACAGCATTTAGCTCTAACTTACAACAAATACAAAGTTACATGAACAATCAATACAGCATACAACTTGGCTGTTTATTTCAGGACTCAGTTTTTCTGGGGCACCCTGTACAGAATGTACACGTATAGTACTGTATTCAGTATATACTGTATTCCAATTACAGGTTACATGATGAACTACATGTACAGTTGTAGCTTTGTTCAGTTGTACATGTACTTGAATGATATACATGTATCTGTTTATCTTCAAGCAAATGGGAATTCTCAATTCTGATTGGTCGACCCATGGCAAAAAATGGCGTGATTAGGTATATAACTGTACTGCATGGTTCATATCAAATCCCCGTATTGCCCTGTTCTAACGCAATGCATTGCGCTATTTTTACCCTGAAAGCAAAACGCACAACTGCAAACTTTACTTTTTTCAAAGTTGTCAAGTTTGTGCACATACAGTAGGCCCCTATAATATCTTTACTGCCATCAAGTTTGCTTGAAGGTATATTCCTCATCACACTCGGGCTCCTGGAACACAGAATAATGTTTGACCGAGTGGTATACGGGACATAAATGCACTACATTATTCTGTGTTCCACTTGCATTCGTGTGATAACTAATAGTGTACGTACTTGCATGATGTACTGTACAATGGACATACATGTATACCACCTTCAAGTTACCGGGGGTAGTTATTAACAACTAGTGGTTTACTTTGACGTATCAACTGAAGACTGGTCCATTTTGCATTCTGATTATGAGACCATTTCTAGTTTGACATTTGAAATGCAAAATATACAATACTTTGGATTCAAAACTTTGTTCAGTGAATCCTGAATAATGCCATGGTGTTGTACATGCACAAACCATGTACATGTACTTACCCTCCATGGACATATAACAAAACACCAATTTATCATTGGCATAGACCAAAAACTAAGCAAAACAGTTTTACACTAGCAAGACTCTAGTCCGAATTGCCAGCAATAAATGACAAAATGATTTTGGATACATGCAATTATTCTGGACAAAAAGCAACAATTTAAGTTAAAATTTTGGTGGTTCAGGTACCAGGGTACCAGTATAATAAGAAAAGGGCCAAAAGGATCATTTCTGGCAAGGATACAATAAGCTCCACCTCCTTGTATAGCTCCATTGGTGGAGATGGCACAAATAGACAGAACAGTAAGGAGTACAATGAAGTAACCCAAGGCAAACATGGCAAGTGTCTGTAAAAGTCCGCTCTCACCCACTGCATAGCCTGTATGAGAAGAGAAGAAACAAATACACATGACGCATATACATTGTACATACATAGTAGTCAAGACATGGATGACCACACCTCTCAGCTTTTCCAATAATAACAAAAAACAGATTTAAACTAAAACCAAAACAAACTAAGAATTCTTGGCTGTAGATATGTTTACATTGATTAAGGCAACTTTTCATCACTTTTTATAAATGTAAACATTTTTGAACAAATATACATTGAAAGTGCTAACTACTTAGTATAGGCGATGGTTGCATGGTGGTTGAAGTATTGTACATGTGTTCACTTCTGTATTTCACTTGTTTATTACCTTCTTGGTATCATACATGTACATGTACTCGGACTTGGACTTCGGTACTCGGACTTGGTCCAGTACTCAGCCTTGAATGTACATGTACTTGTACTTGGTGCTTTGGACTCGTGCTCGTCACCAAAGTGTACTTGTACTCAGTCTGGGACATGGCACCTAAAGTACTCTCAGAGTACTCAGTACTTGGATTTGAGGACTCAACTCCAACACTGCAACAGACCCTACTGGTACACAAATCTAAAAGTTATATAATAACGTTTTACTCATGTACTCACTTACTCATGTACGTACATATGCGTCATCAAAGAGGGCACTGTCTTTTTGTAGACGGCCACATCAGCTAAATACCATTTAGATAATTTTGGCCGGTGCTGGCTAAACATACACTATCAAATCCAGACAAATATCATCCTTGCCTCATCTCTGTAGGTGGCAGCCATGTTTTTTTCACTTGCTCACCCATGTACCGTACTGTATGCATTATCACTTTTGCATTTTGGAAATTTTCATGAATCCAAAGCTTAGCGTTAGATCAAATTTGTGGATGTTGTTTATAAACAGAAGTGTACTATTAGCAATAAAGCCTGTTAGTTTGAGATACATCTACATACACTTACCAGTACCTCACAATGTGCCGCTTCTTTTAGATAAAGATACATTCTTCATGTAATTTATGTAATTTTTTAACTGTTACGATACTTTATCCATTTAGGTTACATGTACAATGCATCATAATTTTATGTTCTCAGAGTTGGCAGCTTTAGTATGTTTGGAGACACATTTATTTTGTCTATCTTCTACATGTACATGTATGCAACGGTACTTTATGCATGTACATGTAGTTTGAATGGGTCACGTTGACGTAGTCCTTTTTGGAAATCTTCAGAAGCACTTATTTGCCATTGGATAAAGTACAATTTGATCTCACAGTATTTGTGTATGCACATGTTTTTCACTTAAAAAGGTAAACCTTATCCATTCTGGTCTGAAATTTTGTCAGTGCTACATACATGTACCTGCATTTGCATTGTTGTTTCCAGCAGCCTTATGCCATATCTAATGCAAGCGGATTCATTCCTCTTTCATGTCATTGTGTCACTTTACTTTGCGCAACCATGTTAAGTAATTTCCTGTATCTTTCTTTGGTCATTTTTTTACAGTTTACCACATACACAGTCAAGGAATAAATCTTGAATCAAAGTGTATATTGATGTCCTTGTGCTGGTTAACAAGTTATCAGAAGAGGGAGATCCATACTTTGCTAAGGCCAGAATATTAAAAAATTAATTTAAATCAGATTTAGAAGATAGGAATGTTATAAGTTCTTATTTTAATCCTTTCCAGAGTTTGTAAACATAAATTGATACAATTATGAATTTTGTCAGCACTTCATCAACTCACCAACGCGCAAGAACAGAATCACACTGAACATAGAAAGCACACACGGTACAAAGACTCCAAAAAAGGTGGTAAGATGTCGCTGCTGGGTGTTGGACCGGGTGTGAATAACTGCACTGCTTGTCTCTGCCACATTCTCCACACCCCTGTCATGACTGTCCAGTCGGTAACGAAGCAAAGGGGAGTGTTCTTGTGCACCTGCCCTCTTCATGTCTGCTTCTTTCCGTAACCAAGATTTAATTCTAAAGCCAAATAAAGATGAAAAGAAAATAATGTATTTATCTTCAAACAGACTTGAAGCACATGCAACACTTCAGAGTCCAGAGAGCCCTTTGCAGCTCTGAATCATTTTGATAAAGGAAACAATACACATTCTGGGAATATACATGTACATGTAGCAACACAGTACATGGAATGCAATATTGACTGTGGTATGGGTACATTTACATACATACATGTACATGTATACCTGTTACGGTCTGTTGTTATGGACTGACAAGGTACATACAGATTAAATACGTTTATGCGTTCATAATGCCACCTGTATGATATGGAGTGACTTTATGCTGGTAGCGGTACATAACATGTACATTTGATTTTTTTTTTATTTTTAAATTTTAAACTACTTTTCCTATTTTTCTTCCAATTGCGAATTCTGACACGTCTTAAATCAGATTGACTTACCGGTAAAACTACACAGAAGTACATGTATGGAAGACTTGTGATTAACTTAGACTCAACTCAAAATTTGTACTGAATTGACTCATCTGGAGACCCAGTGGGTAAAAGACATGACTAGGCTCAAGTCAAAGCAAGCAAATGAGTTGACTTGAGCCCTTCATTAACACTCAAGTCAAAGACTAACAACACAAGTCCCAAAACTATGTCCAAAGTCCACAAATTGATATACCACGGAAATAAATTGCAAATTTTATACATGTACATGTATGTGCTGGGGGACAGTGAAACACTATTTCGTCTATAACCACTACACATGTATTTGTGTTTACATCATTTGTTCATGTTTATAACTGTGCCAATTTTGCCGTAATTCAGCATGATTGTGTCAGCAGAAGATAGCAGGTTGGTTTTCAATAAAAAGAACAGGTTTTTCTCGTTCCAAAAATGCTATAAGAAATTTAATTTTTGTGCAGGACAACATTAGAACCAAAAAAATACATGTAAGGAACATTCAGTCCGTGTGCAAACATGGTGGTTCCAAATTCAAATGCAGGCATGATGGGAGAGATGCTGCATTTTCAGACATTACCCATGACAGAATTAGATACTGGTAGCTTTCTGCAAGACTCCTTCAGAAATGTCAAGAAAAAAACATTGTACCAGTACTCCCTACCAATTATTTTAGTTGAATTTGTTCAACTAAATCGTATTTTGGTAAGGACAGTTTCAGTGGAGTGAAATACATTATGAGGCAGTAAAATGTATTCCACCAAGTTCATTCTCCTGCTTCCATGAAATAAATTACTGCAGTAAAACAAAACAATTGTTGAGTGCCATTTGCTCCTCAGGTGTGCAAAACACCATGGACCCCTGCAAAGCAGGCAACAATTATATAATGTTCACTTCACTCTCTGCATAGCCTCTTACATTTCAAACTATTTCTGTGATGTCACTCTTTTGTTCAAAGTGTACATATAGATTATTTTTATGAATCTACAGTTATTGTACGTAAACCATTTCACAGAATGCGTCTTTCGCGGCTCGAAATTGGGCTAATCATCCCGGAAGCAAGTACTTGCTCCCTAGACAGCTAAATTTGTCACTTTATAGGAGCAAGTACAGGTAAATGTAGCTCCCATACATTATTAAAGACACATGTTCAAAAAAAAAAGCAAAGACCCTGGTCCTTGCTGTTGTTTTTGTTTAAATTAATGACACTGATAACTTACAGCTTAGGCTTGGGCAGAGATGAAAGCCTTGATTGAGTTGTTATTTTTGCGGGTTGCACTTGACAAACAACTAGTAGTGAGTACATGACCAACCGGAATCTCAAACATGTGCTTAGTGACACTACACAAAAAGTCGGGCACCGGGCCTTTATAACATGCATATGAGCAGAGATGTAAAAGGGAACTAACTGTAGAAATCGAGCATTTTTTAAACAAGTGGATTAGGCTGAGACTTTGGTTTTGCTGGTTCCAGCTATTTTGGAGCATGGTTCAAAACCACATGTTCAAGCTATGACTGGAACCAGCGAAACTGAAGTCTAAGTCGAAACCACTCGTTTGGCTTGAATTTACACACGGGAGGGCAGTTTCCATACAATCATAACACTGGCCTTGGGTGTATGTGTGTGTACGTTCATGTGTGTGTGCATGCGAGACTGCGGCGTGCACTCGGTGACATCGTAAACAAAATTGTACCGTGTTATGGTTCCATGACAAGGCTGATCTGAAGTGAAGTCAAAAAGTTCAGGAATTTTTCATGACAAAAGTAGAAACAAACAGTAAAAATGTTCAGGTACATGGAATCAAACGGGCGTAAGTACTTGTGCCTGTCACTACGATTTACGGGCGCATTTCTGAGACAAACGCGTGCATTTTCACAACTGTACCTGCGCCCGTTAGTTTTGAGCCCTAATATTGGTTGTATAATATGTAATTAGCACTAGTAGTAGAGGTCATGCTATTTAGATTGAACAAGCATCAACGAGCTTCAACAAAGCAAAATATTCAAGCATTTTTATGCAAATATTACATTAGTGAGGCTCCCAAATATCATATTCAATGTATCACGTTATCGAAAATTATATTTGAGTTAAGCCTGTTCAATATGACAATATTTCACGATATTTCGATATGATGTTGATATCGGATATCGTATCATTCGTAAAAAAACACATATCGGGATATCGTGCCAATCGATACACCAAACATTTTTGCGATAAGCTCCAAACAATGTACTGTATGCACATAGGGAAGTCAATGCACCGTGTATTGAGCCCTGCATTATTGCATTTAGGCCACACAAATGCTCCATTGAAAACCTCAAATCACAAAGTCACTGTTGGCATCAAGCAGCTGCAAGGGTCTTAAAAGTATTAGGGGGCAGAACCAAACCAACAGACTGTATGCATGTGTAATGTATTGTACATGTACAGTAAACCCAAGCTACACGTACATGTACATGTAAGTCGGCTCTCTCACTCGAGATTGTCATACCAAGCCCGCGTGGTGCACATGTACTCGGCTGTTTTCCAATACTCAACTTCGTCTCCATCTCAGGCTCCGTCTCCAAAACAAATTCCCGATTGTGGGCCTGAAGCATTTCAATTAAATTGAAGAACTGTAATGTTTGGCTCTTTTGCATCTTACTTGATCTTTTGTGTCACTATCAAACTTGCTATTGCATTTACAACTTCAAAGTCAGGTAGTAAAAAAAAAATCAGTTGACGCCTGAACGGAGATGAAGTTAAGTATTGGAAAACGGTCTACATGTTACGTTCGTTCAATAAGGCGAACCCCAAAATAGACAGAGCGCATGCGTGTAGCCCGAAAGGGGTTCCCTGGTTATGTACCCAACCACGTGCATGCATCAGTCAAGCAGTGTGGGGCTTGTCGCTGCACGACTCCAGGCAACTGTGGCGAAGGAAACCGATACCGAAGCGCGATATTTTTATTGCCGTCTTACGAGAATTTTTTGTGGTCTTGTAGAAAAGGACCGAGTGAAAAATGCTGACTTATCAGAAATAAATGACAACTTAGAAATAAGGTGAGGATGTGCTCTGTCCATTTGGGGGGTTGCCTTTCTGAGCGAATTTTACCGCTAATGTGTGCGGGGAAATGGCTTTTTCCATTTGGTGCCATGATATGATATATGATAATTTAATGTCCACAATTTCCATGTAGAAATTTGCTTTCCACATAAGAGTTCAAAATGTAGAAATAATACGTAGGCCTGTACATGGTTTTTTGTT